CACACACATATTGCGTACTTTGATAACGAATATAACCTGGTGTCAGAAGGAATCGTTCCCTGTTTTTCATCTTTAGCTCTCCTAAATATAGAGTATGCTCTGAAAAGTTGAACACCCAATAATAAAGGAAAAAAGATCTACAGCTATGCTGCTGTACTTGTCCATCGGTCTTTTGCCACTTGAGCCCCACTATGAAAGATTAATTGTACTAGTGAGTTTGCAAGTGCTAAACTACAGTAAGTACAGAACAACAGCTGGCCCTGTCATTTCCATAAGAATACAAACCACAACAGCTGCTCTCGCCAGCATCTGCCGAGCTGTTTATGAAAATTAACAGTGCAGATCCTCATAAAGTCATCAACTATCTCCAAATTTACAGCACTAAAAAATGCATTAGGCTCGGCCCTGATTTGATAGCTCTAAATTTCGTGGCTCATAAATATATTTATATACTCTATTCACAGAGTGTACCAATTACAAGGCGAGCAGGGACATTGTCAAACAATGTTTCGACATGTTTAATAACATTGGGGTATGATTTGTCAAGGCATTGCACCAAACACAGCCGCTAATGAGAAGCAACTCTGAGGCTGCCTGGCCAAATCAGAGGGCCTTGGAGGACTATTCAACCATTGTCAACAATTTCACTCTCAGTCCTCGCGCAAAGCGACAGAGACCACTGTTACTGGATAGCACTTAGTTAATGGCTCCCTTTTGGCAGCTGTAATTACACAATGATTAGCTTTACCCACTTCAGACTTTCACACTTCACCTTGTGTTCCTACAGTCTTCAGTGAGCAGGTCTGGGAACAGCTATGCAGACCGTGCTGAGCCAGACTTGTTCGAAATGGCGCCTTCGCATTGTGGATTCTACGTGTGGAGATATACTTAGTGCTAATCCAATTGAAACCAATACTTCCTGTCAGGCAAGGTGCTGGCAGACTACATATACATATTAGCGGATAATGAAATCTCCACTACTGTAATCTAACGTTTAATGAGGTCCAGACAGTGTGAAAGCTTAGCATTCTTCTGTCAAGTGAACAATACTTCAAGTCAACATGCACAAGTTTTTTTTTTTATATCAAGGTTTGTCATACATCCAAATGCCTGTGGTAAGCAGTTTTTTTTAGAGTATTTAAGAACTGAAAAATATATTGGTTAAGAGTAATATATATATATATATATATATTTTTAACTTTTGTCAAAACAAGTATCTGAAACGTTATTAGAAAAAAAAGTTTAAAGAGCCCCTATCATGGATTTTTGAAAATGACTGTTCATATGGTGTGGAATATAGCTCTAAGGGAATGAAAACATCCTGCAAAGATTTATATCTGAAAGTGCACCTTATATAAAGTTATTGTCTTTCAAAAGTGAGAGTCGACTCTGAGTCTATGAAATGAATTGTTTTTGAAACGAGTCATTAGCTGGTTTGTCGTGACGTAGAGACATACTGGCCGCGCCCAGTTACGGAAGTGTAAACTTGAAGTCTACACATTCAAATACTTCATCATAGCATCATGTCGAGAAGACGCTGTGTTCTACAATGCAAAGATAGTTCAGCCACTTTGTTTTCATTTACCAGGGACGAGCATGTGAAGAATCGGTGGTTAGAGTTCATATTTGCAACGATACCATAACAGTATAGCCCGATTGTGTTTTCATTTTAATGACGAATCGTTCAAAAACATAAATGAATTCAAATGTGGATTCGCAAGCAGTTGTTCCTGAAGGAGGGCTCAGTAACTTACTTACCCAGTGCATATGGATCAGCTTCCTCCTATGAATCACAACCTGTAAGTATTATTAATAATTGTTGCTTTTATGGGTTTTGAACGGTTTTGTTGCGTCAGGGCACGAGGCAGTATGTGTGTGCGCATGTATCTGTGTGTGTGTGTGTGTAAGTTACGCTCAGCGTAGCTTCTAGGTCTCCAATGTCAATTTTTTTTAAATATGTGAAATGTTTGTCGCTGTTATTGGAGTTGTTATAAAGAATAGAGCGTCTTGTAGTACTGCAGTGCTTTATCAATATGTTTATGCGTTATGCTAACAAACAATAACTGACTGGGTCTGTCATCTGACCAATCACCGTTGATTAGCATCACACAAAGGAGTGGTTTGGAAAAATGAGTCGTTGTACGAATCATTTGGGAGTCGGTGAGCAAATCATTTAAAAATAAATGCATATTATAAGACAAATAAAGTGTTTTTTTATCCTTGCATGCATGTTAAACTGTTTTTGGGAACTCCTAAAACAAAAATAGGAACATTTCAAATGCTATGATAGGGGCTCTTTAAATGATAAAACATTGAAGGAAGACATTGAAGGCTTGAAAGAAGTTAATCAGCAACATTAATAATTATTTAAATACACACACTTATTTAAACTGTTTACCTTTATTGACTTTATTAAATGCTAATGTTTATTTATTGATTGATGATGAAATTGAAGAATTGTGTGTGTGTGTGGACTTCCCATGCACATGTTGTCAATAACCACAGGGAACAGGCTGTAATGCATCCATCCAAGAATTAATACTCCACAATTAGAAGTTTAACCGCTTCTATTGTTTTCATTTGTAAGTTGCTTTTGATAAAAGTGTCTGCTAAATGAATAAAATGTAATGTGTACTCTGAGTCAAACCATGCAATACATTTTTTTAATTGTAATTGATTAAATAATTACAGTCTTTAATGTAGGCAGTTCTCTGTCTGTTCTATCTTGAATATATGTGTCCTCTGTTCATCTTTAACTGTCTGGTTATATAACTGTAAATTCCTTGTTTGTGTGCAATACACTTGGCAATAAAGCTCTTTCTGATTCTGACAATATGATGCTCCCACAGCACGTTGTTCACACAACAGAGATCTGTGCTGTTTCTCTGCCATTTTCAAAGCCTCATAATGCAATCTAATGGTTTAACGAAATCCAAATTTTAAACGTCTTCAACTGTAGAATTGTGCCTATACAGATGAATAAGCAAAAGTTATTTCAGGGCAAGAACACCCTGATTATAAAGCAAATCACGATTGGTTGGAGCGGGAGTGTGCAATAACTGGTTAGTGCAAAATGCCTGTTATCTGATTGACACAGAAGTAGATGGTGGATGGAGTCCACTTATTCGTGGATTTGACGCTAGAAGTCTTTCAAAATCCACAAGTGTGTGCTGTCATCTACAAATGCACAAGAAGAAATCCAAAAATGCAAAGAAAGCGATTCCCAAATGCATGAAAATGAATTCAAAGACGAGTTGTGTGTGTGACAACACATTTGTAAATATTTTTTTTTTACTTGCAAAAAATGCAAATCTCATTCAATTTATTTGTAATTTTTTTTTTTCACATTTATTTGTGAAACTCAATCTATTTATTTGGAATAATGCAACTATTCTAGCACCATATTTTGAACAACTGAGGCATAGTGTGCAATGCTTTTGTTCCTGGTACAGAGACAAACATGTAAATGTGAAACATGTTAACAAATGGGAACCCTGATGTCATAGCAAATGAACAGTTTTAGTAACAGCTGATCATTTTTAAAAAAAAAAATCAATAACGGCAAAACAAACACAAAAATGTAAACGAGGCTTCTCTACGACTGCATTTGGGTGCAGTTGTCAAGTTATTTGCCCATAACATGCCAAGCTAAATCAATACATATCCTCTCAAGTCAGTTTCTACCATCAATCCTCGGCAGAAATAAAAGAAGGAAGCACACCTTCCTCGGATCAATATCACAACAGCTAGGCACAGGACAGGCATCTAAGACTCCTGCTTTGTAGCCAGAGAGGTCTTTATATGTTCTCTAGAGGACTTATTTACTCCAGCCTTCAGCCTAGATGCTCAAGTCACTACATATCTGGCCTATCAACCTTGACACCTCCTTCTTTGTGCATGAAGCAGCATAAGAAGTCTGATTCAAGTGATTTCTCGGGTTTCTTTCCAGTGAAGTTAAATGGTGCACCGTGTATTCTACTGGATGGCAGGAATTGAAACATTTAAAAAGCCAACAGCGATAAGCCAAGCACAGACACCCCGCAGACAGACCACCTCGCCTTGGAGACACTTAAGCGTCTGTGGCTTTGACAGCATTTTCATCACACCCCCTACCCCCCTTCACCATCTGTGAATGTGCCCGGCAACATCAAACCGCGTCTGAGAATCGAAAGCCAGGAGACAAAAACGTTCAGGGGTACTATCCTCTGCTGACAAAAAAAATGACTGTCACTCGTAGCAGAAAAAGAGTCATTTGACGGTGGTTAACGCACGCCATCCATCTTGCAGGTAATGTTTTTTCTCCTTTTCTCTCATAAGGAGAGGCCAGTGTTGCTGCCATGTGTGCAGTTAGAGGCTTCCCTGGCAGCAAGCGCTGCTTGCACTTGCATCAATTACAGCGGATAGGCCTGACAGCTGTAATTACATACCTCAACACTGATTATGTGCGGTCTGTCATGGAGACCAGCAAGGCACCTATTTTCATGCACTCGTTTAAGCAGTCAGTTGTCAGGGCAAAGTGGCAAAGCAAGAACGGCCCTCTTCAAGTAGGAGGAATGGAGGGAAAGTGGTGGGAATTTAGCTTGCATGGAGTCAAGTAAACCCCCTCCGCATACTCTCATCCCTGCCGCCTCGGTCTTGGCAAGATCTCCTGCTGCTCAGGGCAGTAATAGCTACTGCATAAAGAGCCCATGTTATTATTGTCACAATAGTAAAGGACTCATAGGAAATTGGGGTAGACCTGCTCATTGTGCAGCAAAAGAAGACAACAGCATCAAAGCAAAGACCCGTGCACAACCAATTTAAGCAGAAGTTGTCAATAGGACTCAACCTAGTATTTTAGACAATATCGAGTGTTAAGTGGCACAATGATACCAATATGACTATGTTAGAGGAGAAAATGAAGGAAAAGTAAACCTGGTAATAGGAGTAAAAAAAAATGTTGAGGTCAAGTGCACAGCTGATGCATTGAGCTGAATGAATCGATTCCAAGAAAAATCACATATGCCATTAATATTTAATTCACTAAGCAAGGTAAATGCATTTGGCGATCACATGACAAACTAGTGACTTTTTTCTCCAAGTTTAATAAAAAAAATGAAGACTTTAAAAATCAAAGCAGCAGCTTCAACATATTGCCTGGCTGTGCTTCGGGCAACAGAGTTTGAGTTCTGGCTCGTGGTCCTTTCTGATCCTGTTCCCCCATCTCTCCCCTACTTTGCTTCCTAGCTGCTGTCCGTACTGCCCTGCATAATAAGACGAAAAAATAAAACAAAAAACAATAATAATAGTACTGGCAAATATAAGATGCAATTGACTCTCGAGCACCAGTCTCTTATAAAAATTGTCCCTGTGCCCTAGCCATGTCACCCTCTCCCTTTCCAAACCCCCCATCCCAGTCATCCATACTCCAACCCCCAATGCTTGCATTAAACGCCTAGCCAATCCAGCTGTGAGTTCGGGCAAACTGCCAAATTGTCTGGCAAATACAAATACAGTAGCAATGATTTCACCAAGCATCTGGAAATGGTTCCATCTACAGCTGTGATGTGTGACTCAATTTTGAATATTGACATTATTTACATAGCTATTATTGAGAAAATTGACATATCACACCCATTATGTTTACGTGTAATCTCTTGTAAATGTCTTAAACACCACTTCTTTATGGGATAACAGTCATAAACCTTTTGAGCAAAATCTTATCTGCGTTTAAACTGGAAAAAAAAAAAACGTATCAAACGTATCGTGGTAAAGTAAAATGGTTAGGCCTACCTGTCCTCCGATATTAACTTGTTAAAGCCCTGGAGTTCAAAGATGCAATTGGCCCGCTGAAAGACAAATAGGAAGAAAACACGTTAGAACAGTGAAGCCAAAGCCAACTGCTCAAGTTTGCCATATTCAAAATTAATACTGAATAATTTAAGGAGGTTTTCAAAATACTGTATTGTGCCATTGCTGAATTTCAGGATTTTGCTAAACAAAATAAACAAAAGCTTACGCTTGTATAGCTCTCACTCTACCATTCAACAGTGTGAGGTGTGAGTGCTGCCTTTTCAGTGACCTTCAATAGCTTATTGATTTTTGCAAATACAAAAGCCACTCGTAGTCCAAACTCTCCAAACATTTTTATTGAACTGTGTGCAGCAGTTTCTCCTGTAAAACCTCCAAAGATGTAATCACAAAAGTAATAAAAAAAGCACACTGTTTTGTACCAACAAACATAAAAACACCTAAGTGAGAGTGTGCATAGATATTTGTCTGAACACATTGTGAGGATAATGGCATTTAATCCTCACATCAACCCCCACCCAGACTCACTCCACACATCCTGGCCTTGCAAAGACCGTCCTCCAATAATAAGCTGTCTAGTCCTTGGCTTCCAGGCCTTTGTCATATTGCCTATTGACATGTTAGATTAAACAAAATTTCACATGTCAATTAAATGAGTGTTGCCCGGGTGATTAGCAGATCCCACTAATTGTCTCCCTCCTCCTCTGCCATAATTTTCCACATGAACAAACAGGAAAAAGGCCTTGTCCAAGAGGGCCCCAATCAAACATGTTGGGTCTTTACGTCCTCCTCCACTTCTTTCCATTCTCCTGGGGGAAAAGCCATCGAAGAGATGGATGAGGTGGGGAGGAGAGGAGTTAAGATGGGGGGGGTTCACTTTTCAGGGCGCCCCACTCAGTTTGGTGCATCCCACTGATGGGGTGCAGTGAGAACGCAAACAGTGGGTCCAAGACGCCCGGCGCACAGCCCCATTCACACACTCCCACACGTGCACCCTCACTGATAATTAGCCAACCGGCCCCCGGAGACAAGACGCCCACAAAGGCTGGGCTACTAACAGTTTTAGACAGGGGCCAAGACACTGCCACGGTCGTCCTCTTCCACATATTCTAATTTCTTTCTTCCCTGACATATGTTTGTTTTCCTTTTCCCTAATGAACATGTTCTCTGGATCTACCTTTGGTCCATCCCATCAAAGGGGTGAAGTCTGATTGGCTTTGGTGGATCTAAGATGATGAAAATGACAGAAAACAATTTGTTTTCTGCTTTCAAATAGTAGATTTTAGCGAATGTATAGGCTAACCTTTGCACTTCTGCTGCCTAATTTCACTCCATAATAAGGTTTTTAATCACAAACAACTTTAAGTGTGCTGCCTGTAATTTCAATGTCAAATCTAAAATTTTTTCAATCTTCTTTCTCTATTGGATGCTCTATAGCTGCTCTTTTGGGTTGAGATTTGGTGACTGTGGAGGCCATTTTAGTACAGTGAACTCATTGTCATTTTCAAGAAACCAATTTGAAATGATTTGAGCTGACATGGTGCATTATCCTGCTAGAAGTAGCCATCAGAGGATGGGTTCATGCTGGCCATAACGGGATGGACATGGTCAGAAACAATGCTCAGGTAGGCTGTGGCCAAATTGGCACTAAGGGGCCTAAAGTGTGCCAAGAAAACATCCCCCACACCATTACACCACCACCAGCAGCCTGCACAGTGGTAACAAGGCATGATGGATCCATGTTTTCATTCTCTTTATGCCAAATTCTGACTCTACCATCTGAAAGTCTCAACAGAAATCAAAACTCATCAGACCAGGCAACATTTTTCCAGTATTAAACTGTCTAATTTTGGTGAGCTCTTGCAAATTGTAGCCTCTTTTTCCTATTTGTAGTGGAGATGAGTGGTACCCAGGGGGGTCTTCTGCTGTTGTAGCCCATCCGCCTGAAGGTTGTGTGTGTTGTGGCTTCACAAATGCTTTGCTGCATACCTCGGTTGTAACGAGTGGATATTTCAGTCAAAGTTGCTCTTCTATCAGCTTGAATCAGTCGGCCCATTCTCCTCTGACCTCTAGCATCAACAAGGCATTTTCACCCACATTACTGCCGCATACTGGATGTTTTTCCCTTTTCACACCATTCTTTGTAAACCCTAGAAATGGTTGTGCGTAAAAATCCCAGTAACTGAGCAGATTGGGAAATACTCAGACCGGCTCGTCTGGCACCAAAAGCCATGCCATGATCAAAATCGCCCAAATCACCTTTCTTTCTCATTCTGACATTCAGTTTGGAGTTCTGGAGATTGTCTTGACGAGGACCATACCCCTAAATGCATTGAAGCAACTGGCATGTGATTGGTTGATTTGATAATTGCATTAATGAGAAATTGAACAGGTGTTCCTAATAATCCTTTAGGTGAGTGTACGTCCCAATCCATCTTATTCTGCTCTAAACAATGCACGCTGCCATGACGACGACTCTGGTTGCCAACTTCCGGTTTGAGTCTGGTCTATGCTTTTTTTCCATTTGTTTTAGATTGTGTCATACCCGGCCACATTGCTAAACTAAATAAAAAATAAAAAAAAATGTGATCTGATCATGTTATTTTTTATTAAATCACAGATAGAAACAAAATGAACGCTTTTCTTTTCTTCATAACTTCCAAAGGATAGCTGATGCAAGACTGCACGATCTCCCTAATCCAGCAATAAATGAACATCTAACAGTTTCTATCACCTCGACTGCTGCAGAATAACAGTACTATAAGATTAGGCTGGTTAGCCCTTTGACTCCTGTCTACCTCTGCTTTCAAAGATGCAAAGTCTATATATTTGTCAGGCCTGTGAGGTTAGGCATACGCCGAGTTTCATTCATGAGACCAAAGTCCAGTTTGTGCGCTGTCGCCTCTGTAATGATCATCTATTGTTTACTATATACTTCTTATTTATTAAAACCAGGCAATTGGTTGATGAAACATTAATAAAAAACGAAATTCACTTTAAAGAAAGGTTTCTTTGTGGTTTTTCTTGAAGATCTCTGAAAGTTTTAAAGTCGCTTTCAGAACGGTCATGTCCGTGAATATAAAACGCATGTGTAGACAGATATTTTTCTAATGTCTGGACCACTGATCTATATATAATTCTATATAGATGATTGGTCTGGACTAGAGTGCTAGCATTCTACGTAAACAAACACTTCAATAGGAAATATAAAACCGTTTAGTCAGTTGAACCCGCTATAAATCATGAACAAATAGAACGGGCGCAGAAAAAGGTGGATAGGGAAGAAAAGATAATAACATTTTCCATTTCATGTAAACTTTAAAACAGCTTTGCAGAACTTCGAAACTCTCTACAGCCATCTGTGTTTGGAACTAGCAATTCCTTGCAAAAATATGTCATCCGAGCATGTCACACCATTTATTTATGGACATAGTGTAAACACATAAGGACAAAAGAGGTAAACCTGAAATTTTCTTCTTGAATCCAACCAGACACTATTTTTCATATGTACTAGCTCACAAACAATAACTATTCTCTGCTGAATGCTTTAACCTAAAAAATACTTGATCGATTCCACAAACTAAAAGACAGCATTTTGAGAAATTTGAAAACCCAACCTGACTCAGGTTTTCAAACTTCACTCAAGTGAACACACTTTCTTTGTCTCATTCTCTCCTCAAACTGATTATAGGGTCTAGTGACAGAGGACACAACCCTGTTTGCACTGCACTTTCTGAAGTGTACACAATAGAAATAGGGTCCCATTGAGTTCAAATTTGCTGGAAGTTTCCTTTAAAATAAATAAAAAGAATTGGCTGCATTGTCTACTTTTTGTGCTGAGGCAGCAGACCATAGGACTAATAATAGATGAGGGGAATCTCTCATCTGAGTCTTCTTCACACACTGAACGTGGGCAGGAGAAAAATGACAGGCATGAGTGTGACATTCATCCGTACTCTAAATTCATTCACTCAGAAATCACGCTCACTCACCCTCCTTTACACACTGCATTTTCCCAGGGGGCTGTGTTATGTGTGTGTGTATGGTCCGTAAGAGACCGTAAGTGTGTGAGTGTGTAGACAGTGAGTGCCAGGTTGTGTCACATGTAAGTGCTCATGCATGAAAATGTGTGTATGAAAAGAAAAGCAGACAGTAGCTTGAACAAATCTCAGTGGAGAGGTAAAAGACTGTCTATGAATCTGATTATACCAATAAGTTCTTGTTAACACCATTGTTATTGCCCTAAAATTATTCACAACACTGCTTAGTATTAAAGAATGAAACACTTTGTTTATTTTATTAAATTTTGTTAGGATGTTGATCACATCAACATCCATCTCTGTTGATGTGATCATTTTGCAATATGACAAAAAAAAAAAGATTAAATAAACCTGGCAATCTAATTTGTAATAACCTGCTAAAATTGATTAAATAGCCATCTATTTTAGCAGTATACATTTATTAAGCAATTTGTCAAACAATATGAGACAAAATAAATAAGTCTATCAAATGTCTTGACAATTTTTTTAAATACAGTTTAATAAACTGATAAAATCATTTCATTTTAGCAGTTTGGCATACATTTGTTTTACTTATCAGTTTGTCATATATATATATATATATATATATATACATATATATATATATATATATATATATACACACATATATATATATATATATATATATATATATATATACACACACACACGCACGCACGCACGCACGCACACACACACACACACACACACACACACACACACACACACACACACACACACACACGTCTATCATATACTATAAGTCTACCAAATATCTTGACAAACTGCATTAAAAATAAAAAAAATAATAATAAAAACTGTCCATAATTTTTTTTTATAAACTAGAATAACTCATTATAAACATAAGCTAATATAAACAAATAAATCTAACACATTAATAGCAGTTTGAAAGACTTTCCTTATTATACATTTTAGAAATTAGACATTTCATTAAGAAATGGGTCTACCAAATTTCCTGACTCACTGACTAAATTAAT